CAGCAACAGCAGCAGCAGCAGCAGCAGCAGCAGCAGCAGCAGCAGCAGCAGCAGCAGCAGCAGCAGCAACGGCAGAAGATGTTGTAGGAGAAGGAAGAGCAGAGAAAGGAGAAATTACAAAACAAATAGGAAGCGACACATATACATCTGGCTGCTGCTGCTGCTGCTGCTGCTGTTGCTGCTGCTGCTGCTGTTGCAACAGTTGCTGCAGCAGCAGCAGCAGCAAACTGCTGCTGCTGCTGCTGATGTGCTGCACCTACCCCTCCATTTGTTTCCCTTCCACAGCAGCAAGGCGCAAACCTCCACCGCCTCCTTAACAGCAGCAGCAGCAGCAGAAGCAGCAGCAGCAGCAGCACCAGTAGCAGCAGCAGCAGCACCAACAGCAGCAGCAGCAGCACCAGAAGCAGCAGCAGCAGCAGCAGCAGCAGCGGGGCCATCTGCATGCGCTCCCCACTGCTCCCTATGAGGCGTAGATACATCCCAAAGAGAAACTCTCCAGCTGCTGCTGCTGCTGTTGCTGCTGCTGCTGCTGCTGCTGTTGCTGCTGCTGCTGTTGCTGCTGCTGCAGGGTGCAGAGACAGCAGCAAGGCCCCCCCATCGAAACAGTGACTGCAGCAGCACCGGCCTGGGACTAAACACAGCTCTTGCTGCTGCTGCTGCTGCTGCTGCTGCTGTAGTTGCTGCTGCTGCTGTTGCTGCTGTTGTCGTAAGAGCTGTAGCAGCAGCAGCAGCAACTGCTTTTGCTGCTGCTGTTGTTGCAGCAGCAGCAGCTGCTGCTGCTGCTGCACTGTCCCCCTCATCATAAGCAACCGAACACAAACACCGCCGCTGCTGCAGCACCTGCTGCTGCAGCACCTGCTGCTGCAGCACCTGCTGCTGCAGCACCTGCTGCTGCAGTACTTGCTGCTGCAGCACTTTCTGCTGCAGCAGACGCGACACACTGCGGCGGCAACAGCGCAGCTGTTTATCTGCTGCAGCAGCAGCAGCTTGTGTTGCTGCTGAAGGGGCCCCTAGGGCCCCCCATGTACTTTGGCTGTTGAAGGGGGCCCCCAGAGGCCCCCTCTTGGGGGCCCCCAGGGGGGCCCCCAAAGTTTCGCTGTTGAAGCAGCAGCTGAGAGGCATGGGGGCCCCCGTGGGGGCCCCTAGGGGCCCCCTAGGGGCCCCCCTCTCTGAAGTCCCTGGGGGGCCCCCCGATACCCTTGGGGGCCCCATGGGGGGCCCCGGGGGCCCCCCAGCTGCTCTTGGGGGGCCCCAGGGGGCCCCCTGGGGGCCCCCAGGGGCCCCCCTGAAAGGGTTTGGCAGTCGAAGGCTGCTGAGGGGCCCCGGGGCCCCTGTGGGGGCCCCCAGGGCCCTTGGGGGTGCGTGAAGCATTTGTTAGGGTTTTGTGCTGCGGTGTATATGCAGGTTGAATGAGGGTTTAGAAAGAAAAGGAAAAGAGAATGAAACCCTCCTAAACCCTAAACCCTAAACCCTAAACCCTAATGGGGGCCCTTGAAGGCAGAG